ATATATATATGTTGCTAAGCCTGAGTGGTCTGATGACTGACCGTTTGTTATGGGCAGGTTACAATATAAAAATGTTTGTCATAATCATGTATTGTGATTATTTGACAGGAGTCTTACTTTCAAGTGTACTTAAAATACACTTACATGTAAGTGTATTTAATTTAGTTATGATGTAAATACAATAAAAATTAAACCAAGATTTATAATAATTATCATTTTGATCCATACATTGGTAATGTCTGACTGGACCTCGTGTCACTTTACGTTCAACAAATTTGGCCCCGAGGTCAAAAAGGTTAAGAAGCCCTGGTTTACAGCACACACAATTTCAGGTTAGCTTCTTAGCTTAGCTTCCTTCTCGGTCAAGCTGGCACACTATCATGACACACATCATGGCCAAATGTTAGAAATTGGGTAAAATCAGATCTAATTGTTTTAAACTTCAAAAGAGACCATGTCTCCAGCAAGAAATTGTTTTTCAATACTCAAGGGTCCAGATCCTTTGTGTGAAGCAAAGTGTAGAACAAGGGGCTGGTTTTTAACCAGGCTAGCAGTTACTGAGATATATTACCTTAAGAATTTGTGTTTTGAATGACTCCCTGCTACTACCACAACAAATTTTATCTCAATATATTTGAGCTATGACAATTTTTGTTTTGGCTAACTTTTAAAAGTTATGGTGGCCGTTTGGTAATTTGTTGCAGATGTGCACCCAATGATTACTTTTAAAAAGTTTCATTAAAATCTATCCAATGGTTGATACGGAATTTTGCTAACAGACAGAAAGGGTTGACTCCAATAGTAAATGCTAAAGTTTTAAGCAAAAACTACACAATGAGTAGCACAACCACATCAAATTTGTCATGATTTGGCAGTATTTATAAAGCAGAGAGAATTTTTTAAAAATAAATTATAGCCATTTTTGTGTTTTTTATATCAGTTTTCTGTCTGACTCCGAGTTCAAGTTCAAGTTCAGTTTATTTATACAGCTCCAAGTCCCAACATCCATTGTCTCAGGACACTGTAGATAAAAAGAATAATGTAAAGAAGAAAGCAGCAGATTGTGTTGAATCACTTCATCACAGTCTCCCATCCTGAGCAAACGGTGGAGAGGAAAAACTCCCTGCTAATCAGGAAGAAACCTCCAGCAGAACCAGGCTCAGGACAGGAGACCATCTGCCTCGACCGGCTGCTTGGAGGACAGGAAACAAACAAATATATTCAATGATTATGTTCTGAGGCCATCCAGTGAGTCATGAGCTATTTTGCCATGAAACACTTTTAAACATTCACATGACAGAACAATGACCTCACCTGCAATCCCTTGCAGCAGTCCGCACACGTTGAAGATGCTTTTCTTCATGATGCTTTGGAAACACATGGTGAAGACTGAGATGAAAGCCACGGCACACAGCAGCAGGATCCCTGCAGCCAGGAAGATGGAGGTCGCCTGCCAGAACCCGCTGGCAATCTCCCCAAAGTGAATGGCGTACGGTCCGCACAGTACTCCCCGCTGAGTGTGGGGCAGCTTTATACAGCGGCCATAGATGCCTAAAGTCGGTCTGTAGGCCTCGCCGGCTGCAGTGGTCCCGTGGGAGCCGAAGACGGCATCAGGGGTGCGAGGATATCCCACCAGCCAGTCAGTGCTCATGAAGGCGATGAGCTCTCCAAACGCAGCCACAATGCTCAGCAGGGTCCACAACATGGAGCGGCAGGTGACAATAACATGGCACATGCTGACAGTGGCTTGAAGCGACTCTGCTCAGATTTCAGGGGGGATTGTGGGTGGGCTGAGGAGCTGAGGTTGTGATCCTCCTCCAGTGGAAGCGTGACAGCGAGCGAACCTTTCAGAGGAAGGACAGAGTTGAGTTCACGTCAATGATTCACAGTTTCCCTCTGCTGTTCCTTCACTTCTTATCGCCTGTCGGTGTTGTCTGAACACAGCTGTTTTCTCCCGGTCTCAGCTGGGTCTTCAGAAGTTTTCTGCTCCCTGATTTTTAGTGTCTACATCGTACTGAGGTTGTGTTTTCTGAGCCAGCCCGCTGGCGTCATGAGACACACCTAGGAGATAAAACAGACACAGGAACAGAGTGAGGTCTTTAATTTAAAGTTGATCGGTCATTTCTGCAGAGTACAAAAACAAGTCTGCTGGATCAGAAAAAATAGGTGGAGCAGGGAGTAGGACGGGAGTGTAGAGGAGGGGGTGTAATGAGAGATGTGATCATTTGAGGTCTTTCCTTTTCACCATTTATGCTGAAGGATTTCTGACCATGTCATTTAAGCAGCTTTAAGGGAAGCGACTCAGTCTCACTAGATTCTGAATTTTACAAGACACTAAAATAAAAAAAAATCCCAGACACTTATGGAGTTAATTTATGTTTATTTGCCTTCGACTTCAACTCCTCCAATTCTCAGTCCCACATTCAAAGTTTCTTATTTAGGCTGTGTCCAAAACGACCCAGACTACCGGAGGACCCAGACTACCCGGTTGAGGTGGGCTGGGTCCTTGGTAGACCAGGAAGACCGGAAAAAAAAAGAGTCTGTGAATTTGGACGGTCTCTAGCTTCCTCTCCACCCCGGCGTACGTCATGTCACCTAGCAAACATGACGTTAAACGGAAGCAAAAACAGATCAAAAATAGAAAAATATCAATATATTAGCATTATTAATATCATAAAACTATAAAATTAACTTAAAGTGTATC